ACACTTCCCATAAATACATGTGCTATAATTCCAGTTTACATCTCGTTTCACACCGAACTTGAGCTGTAGGTAAGCGAGACTTTTCATTCGCATGGCATTGTGATGTTCTTGATGTATCCCAACGACATTATACTTCAGAACTCGCATTTCATATATCACTGTGGTACCTCGCGATAATGCTTTCCGATTCGATAAATTGCCAACTTTACGGTTTTCTATACACATATATGAATATATGCATATGGAGCTCCAAGATATCGACAGAACTGTTGGGATTTATGAAAATATCAACGCTATTGAGCGTTCAGACTCCTATTCGAATGGATAGTCTCCATTTTATTTTATGATCCATTATAGATTGCCTCATCGAAACGAAAATGCTGGGTTTATGAGGGGAAGAAACTATTGAATAATCCAGCACATGTTTCGTCCCTACAATGATTCAACATTTTCGACAAATAAGAAAAACAACTATCTGTCAAATATACTAGTAGAACTGGAAAGCCATGGGCATCATTTCAGAGAGAATAATACTACTTTTGAATTGCTATACAGAAAGCGATGAGAATAAAATTGGGTGTTATATTATGAGACATAACCACACAATGAATCGTGAGGACATCAAATTCTGAAATATTTTGAAGAAATATTCGCTATCATAATATCAAATTTTCAATTATTAGTGAACGTCCCCCAACATTATAAGTCATTATCACCTCCGGTGTTTAAGACTCCGTCGAAAAAAACGCTGGTAAGCTCTTATCAAGAATTTACACAAATATAAGAACAAATTCCAATCTTATCTGTCCACGGTTACCAGCCGAGTAGTGCTTCGGATGACACTTAAAAAGCTAAGGTCCCCGTCTTCTTAACTCACACAAGTCTCTGACTTTCGAGGGTTGCTTTGCAACTAAGCTGGCGGTTAAAAACACTTTTAAACACTTTTTTTTTTTTTTTTTTATATCATTTTCGTCGTAAAAGATGTTTTTTCATTTTTTTGTCTTCTTTTACGTCTTCTATTACCGATTCATTCATCGATCCAATTTGAAAAACATTCTGTTCATGAGAATTCTCACAAAATCGACCATTGATTCAAAGAGCATCGAACAAAAAGTTTGTTGTGCTAATCTTTATCAATGAGTCTTAATTTTTTTTTAGACAATTCCCTTGATTCCAAAATTTGTTATTGAAGTTTTCGATACCTGTATTCTATTTCGTCCTATGAAGTACATTAAACAATAGTAGAATTATCTGAAAACAAAAGTAAAACCACGTGGGACATAGTAAACACTCTAACGACTAAAGAATACCGTCAATATGATAATATTCATACACAGAAGTTGCCAACGGATTCAAAAACTTTTTCTGCAATGCTGGCACACCAAATGCTCTGAGTGCTCAAAGTAAATTATTAATAAGCAATACCTTGAAACGGTGTTAATGAACATAAAATAAAAGATACTCAGTATAGAATTGGAAATAAAAGACAGTGATCGGGGAAAAAGAGAATAAGGGTAGTCAAGGGGATAAAAAAAAAGAAAAAAAAAAGAATAATAAACAAGTAGTGAAAAAAAAGGGATTAAAAAAGGGAACGGAAAAAAACAGTAAATTCTTTGAAAAATAGAGATATACGGAATAGTGAATTGATAGATAGTGGATATAAGAAAGGAGGTAGCAGGGAGAGTAGCAGAGAAGGAGAATATTGTGAAGAAATAGTGCACAGAAGCAAGAAGATTGCAGGGAACGATGGAATTGGCAAGACACCAGGACACCAGGTATTTGGAACTATAGTTAATTCATTTTCAAGAACAAGGAACGTTACAACCTATATCAAACGAACGAATATGAATTTTCTAAATTTCTTCCACAGATTCGGATATCGTTAATTGCGCTAGTGCTCTGAAGCCAAAAAAATCCAAGGGATAGATGAAATTCCAATGACAGTAATAAAAAATAATATAACCTTATTGAAAAAACCCCTCACATTTTTATTCAACATGTCACTTTACACTGGGATATTCCCGGACTGCTTCAAAACATCAGTTGTAGTACCGATTTTCCAAAAAGGTGACAGATCCGAGACGAATTACAATATCGTTATTAGCAAATTTCAGCAAATTACTTGAATGGATCGTTAATCACCAAATCAATAAGTACCTATGCACCAAGAACATTTTAACGGAATCACAATTTGGCTTCAGACAAAATTTCAACACAACTGATGCAGCTTTCACGTTCCTGGAAAGGTTACATAATGCTTTGGAATCCAAAGAGTTTCCACTTGGAATATTCTGTGACCTCTCCAAGGCGTTTGACTGTGTTGATCATTCAATACTACAAAATACTCTGGAATTCTATGGAATACGAGGGACGGTCAAAAATTGGTTTGAAACTTATTTTCATGCTAGAGAAATGTTGGTGAGAATAGAACACAAGGATCATAACAACGTCGAGTATTATCAGTCAGAAAAGGGCCACATAAAAAGTTCAGTTGATGACCTTACCTCAAAATCACAAAGTGCGATGGACGCTATAGCAGACTGGTTTTCAGAAAATAAGTTATCATTGAATATATCTAAGACTCAACAGATACCAGTACTCAATAGATAACCATCGACATGAAACTAAATTGGATGGAACACATAAAGCAGCTGAATACCAAACTCAACAAAGCAACTTTTGCATTGCGAACTGTCCGAGCGAACACAAACTTTCAAGTCTCGAAAATGGTATATTTCGCATATTTTCACAGCTTGATGCAATAGGGAATAGAATTATGGGGTAATTCCGATGGTTCCCAAACCACGTTTATTATTCAAAATACGTGCCATCCGTACTTTGTTCAAATTGAACTATCGAGAATCTTGTAGAGTATTTTCTTGAAAATAGGTTATTGGCCTTGACAAACACATTCATATTTCAATTTGCCCTTTCGATCCATAAAAAACATTCAGATCATCGTCATCAATACATGACAATCACTGAAGGACTTATTACACCACCATGTACGTTATGATTTAAATGAATTTTTCGCTATATCGCTCCCCATCTAATCAAAAGCATGCTTATCCTTTAGTTTTAAGTAGTTTCAAGTATTACGATATCATGTCCAACAAAATCAAAATCAGTAGAAGTAGTGAAATACGATGAAGTTTCCAAATGTATAGAGCTTAGACTTAATTTTTTTTCATTATGAAATAATTTTGTAGAATGACACTATTCTTTCCTTATGCCAATGGCTAAATGTACATACACCTGTTCTGTGTATATTGGAAATAAATGTACTTACTTACTTACTAACTAGTTGAAAGCTTATGCACAAGCTGAAAATTTGTTTGTTTCATGAAAAATAAAGGTCAAATATGGGGTGAATATAATATGAGGGCTGGGAATGTTCAATCCAATTATTTCATTTGATGCGAAATGCATCGAGTCAAGTCTGGGAAACAACATGACATCATTGAATGTGGACGACCTTGCCGATGAAATGCAGGATGATTTCTTGAATCTGCAAAATGACTCGAATCGTTTGCGAACACATGTTAATAGAGAAAAAAGTATTATATCTTGATCTGGAAAATAAGAACCTGGAGTCTCTATAGTGGGTTTCGAAACAACCTGTATATCATCCAACTTTCTTCATTTTTCATTTTCGTCCCAGTATAGCAGCTGGAAAATGGGGTTGATTGCAGTAAATCATGGCATAACTAATTTCACATGAACAACTTCATCATCTTCACTAGTATTTGGAAATGCACTCTCATTGGAACAAGTTTATGAATAAGTATTTAATTTAAATGCAAGGTTTGTTGATGCAATCCTTCAATAAACCGTCAGCTGAATTTAATAATAGTTATTCATACACCAAGGTTGTAAATAATATCATTATTACCCAGTGACCAAGATTATTTATCCCGAGGCTTCAGCCGATAGGGGTATATCAGTTTTTTTTTTTTCAGCACTAGCAATATATTTCAATCATTTTAGTTCTGTCAAACTGAAATATGGACCTATGTGACTATGACTGCGCTCTCTTTCAATTCTAATTGAAATCGTAGCCATGATCATGACAGCATTTGATAAGTCGTTATTGATGAATACCTACTAGATTCGAGTGCCATTCCTGATCTCGCATCAGAACAGTGAATTCGGGATAATAATAACAGAGCTATAGCTATGTCTTCATCAACTACGTTCATACGAATTTGGAAAAATACCTTTGTAGTAGAATAGTACATTATACATCAAGGGACAGAAATGCAAGATTTTTTCCAAGGTGCGATAAGTAGCTCGAGGACGAAGCCCGAGAGATACAAAGCACCGAGGGAAAAATAGCATTCTGTCCTGAGGTGTATATGTACTATTTTTCACGCTGGCGAAAACACAAAAATCAAGAAAGAATAAAAAGTGTTTTGTCATAATTAGTAGTAATATAGTTTGTGGAATAAGTATCTTGACAACATGCATCTTGTTGACAACTCATGGTGACAGCAAATATCAAACTGAAATTCATGAAAACAGCTTTGAAAATGGTTAACAGTTATGGAACAATAAATCGAGGAAAAACCCCAAGAAACTTTCGATACTGCTTCTGCAGTGATTCTTAACTTGCTACCAGTGAGATCTCGCTTCAGAGAAGGGTGTTCCGAAAAGAAAGCACAGAGCGCAGCGCAAAATGTGAACTTGGTATAAACTCCCTAGGGAGAAAATATGCCACATTATCTCCCTAGGGAATAATACGAGACTTCTGCCCCTCTTTTGTCACCAAAATTTCAGCAAGTGGTAGAAAAAAAACACAAAATGGAAATTAGTTCTAACTAATAGATCAAATCTTGGCCAATGATGAATAATTTATTGAAAAAGAGCTGGAGAAAGATCCTTCTTGGTATATAATTGAGAGGATATTGCATGATTTCGTGAACCTCTACTGCTTATACTGGAAGATAATAACTGTAACAACAGCAATCAGACTGAAACTGCATCGCCGTAGACTCTACGCTATGCTGGGACAAAGAGTTGGTTTTGTTTCATTGTGCAAAAATGATAACAACATTCCAAGTTTCACCAACTATCATTGTATTATGCACCAGCAAGTTCTGTGCTCTAAAATTCTTGAGTCAGATGTTATTATGAAAATTGCTTTCAAAATAGTTAATTCTATTCGAGCCAGAAGTTTGCTAAGGCGTCAATTTCTAGCTCTTCTTGAAGAGACTGAAGCCGAATACTCATCAGACCTTTTACTACATACAAATGTTAGGTGGCTTAGCCGTGGTGTCTTTTTGAAAAGATTCCGCCGATTACTGCCAGAAATCAAGACTTTTATACAATCGAAAGGAGAAAATGTTCCTGAGCTTGAAGATGAAACATGGCTCATGAAACTGGCTTTTTTTTGTGATATAACAGAAAAACTTAATGACGTGCACCTGAATCTTCAAGGAAAAGACAAAATCGTAATTGACATGATTACTTTCATCAAAACTTTCAAGAGTCAAATGCAATTGCAAACATCTCAATTAAAACGTGGCGAACTAAAACATAATAAAAACATGGAAGAAGAATGTACGCACAATACAAATCGGGACTTTGAAACTTTCGCTGAACAGCTGGAGAATTTGCACCTGGAGTTCGAAAGAAGGTTTGCGGATTTTGCCGCTCTAGAAGAAGTGCTAAGTTTCATGGTTTTCCCTTTTATTGAAAATATTGACATTGACAGCTTGCCCGTTAAAATCAGCAACTTAACTGACGCCGAATCTGTTGTGGTCGAAGAAGAAATAGTTAAAATAAGAAGCGACATATTTTTGAAAGCTAGAGCATCTGGTAGTACAGATTTTTGGAAACTGATTTGCAAAGAAAAGCTTTTATGCCTTAGAAGGGTAGCTTTATATTTGACGTCGTTTTTCGGATCTACCTATCTTTGTGAATCAACATTTTCAACTATGAATGCAATAAAAACCAAACATCGTTCCCGCTTAACAGACGCTCACCTAACTTCCTGTTTGCGCATCGCAGTTACTTCGTACACTCCTCAATATGATAAACTTGTGGAGAATATGCAGTGCCTAACATCCTCCCAAACACGTAAAACGCACTGAAAGATGTGAATTTCGTATGTAAATGAATACTCAGAAATTTAACACAAAAATGTTTCATTCCCCTCGTCTATACTTTACCTTGCAGTCGACCGCAAGAAATATTCTTGAATACAAGTAGACCGCACAGGTCAAAAGTTTGGCCACCCCTGCCGTAGAGCACAATGGAAAACGATGATAGACCTGTTATAAAAGTATATTTATTTTATTAGGAGTTTATTTAAAAAAATAACCTCGTTTATTTTAAATTGCGACAAGAATGTTCGCAGAATTCAAAAAGGATTAATTAGATGTTTAACTTTGACCCCACTGATCAGAGATAAATGGATCATCCTAAACAAACATTGCCGATAAAAATCGGGGAAAATTGGGAAGGACCTTCCTTTCATTCAGCGTGGCCACATCAGCCTGGATTAAGCAATAAACCATATTTCAGTTGGCAGAATCTATAAAGGCAGTGGATTGAATTAAACTCGAATGCGCAATTAAACCGTATTAATAGTATGATCAAGACGTGGGCTTTTATATTCGCCCATTCAGGGCATCCATTTGGGAACCTCTTAAGAGAGTAATGCCGATACAGTGGCTTAGATTATACTACAGCGTGTAGGATATTCGATACCGTTCGATCTCAGTGAACAATTGTCTTTGGAGATAGAGAATAATTCTCATTCCTGCCCTAAAATTTCGTGAAATGCCGCAAATGGGTGAATGTGTTGGTTGGTTCTCATATTGTTTCATGGAGTTTGATGTTATAAACTATTAATCAATCGAACCGCATCAATCACATTTTTGCTCTTAATTCAACATTGAATATTTTCGCAAAAATTCCACTTATTCGGATTTCGGATGCGGTTTTCTTTATTCTGAAGATTGATCCATTGAGTATATGACAGATAGACCGCTGATGGAAATACATGGTAATCTCTGGCTATACAGGGTGACAAACAAACCTTTGCAAAATAGTGGAAAATTGTCCATACTCCCAATTTGATGGAAAATTTAGAATTTTTTCAAGCATATTTTCATAATTCTCGAGCATATTCCTCGAGATGGTTCTGCAATCTTTCTCTCATCTTTCCAGATTTTCGAGAAAAAACATTTTTTCTGAAAAATGTGATAATTTGTACTACTGACCAGACATATTCTTATTTGTAGCTCGAATATCACAGATTTTCTCTTGGATGAGCTATTGTGACCTCAATTGTATGAAATTTCATATTGTTTATATACAGAGTGTTTGGCAACAATATTTGATAGACATTATTACAGGAAGATCGGCATACTTTCTATCAAACTCCTAATGAATTCATTCAATGAAGCTATCTTCAGAATACAGAAAACCGCATCCGAATAAGTGGAATTTTCGCGAAAATATTCAATGTTGAATTCAGAGCAAAAATGTGCTTGATGCGGTTCGATTGATCAGCAATTTATATCGAAATGGTTTCTTATTTTCATTAATTGATCACACTTTTTTTATATATTTTTTCATGAAATGTCACGAAAATAGTGTTTCATTTCTAGTATACTCTTCATGCAAAAGATTATTTTCGTGTTTATGTGTATAGAAAATTAGATATAGTTGATAACAGGGTAATTTCCAGATTTCGATATGAAAATACCATATTATTCAAATCTTATGACATACTTTGATTATTACTGTATCATATTCGGTAGAATTTTTTAGCTGATAAAAATATTAGTGGCGTCGTTAGGGCAATATTGATGTTTTTTACTACGTGTGAAACTGGTTGTAATGAAAATTATGCAAATCTCATTAGAGAATTCAAAAAATGTTAAGTTTCTCCTGTCAGAACTCGATAAAAACAATGAAACCAAATTCGACGACAAGTTTTGTTGTAGGTGTCTGATACATAATTCATTCTAGAAAACCATGTCAGATATTATGTTGGCACTATCCCAGTCATACATAACCGAGTAAGTTCAGCCGTAAAGACAGCTACTACATGGTGGTAATGAAAATAATGTTTGTTTTCAATCTGAACGCCTATAGTATCTCAAAAACAGGGCTTTCTATAGGACCAATGTTTATAGGAAATTTTTTGCTCAACTTGGATCTCCAATCGATCGTCAGATTTCTACTACCTATAGTGTGAAGAACATATGAATTCAAGGAAGTGTCGTATGGCCTAGCAGTTAGTTTGCAGAACAGTCGACAAGTTCAACATTTTCCAAAATAAATCTGGATGACTTTTCAGACACTTTCTTGATGTCGATCTTTAGGGTGTCTCCTTATATTTTGACCCCTACCTACATCTTCAAAAATACGAAATGGAAAATAACTTCAGATATGGAAGTTGTAGGATTTCATATGAACTATATCTTTTGGCACTCCTTGAACGAACAGATGCGAATCGCGAAATGAAGAAAAGAGTCCAGATCCTTTTTTCAAATAGCTAATGTTTCCTCAAGCCATTCTTCACATCAAAGTTTCCAATAACATTTAGATGTCTGTGGATACAACAGAAATACCATGGAAACATAACAGGCATTATTTGACATCTCTGTCGCGTTTCTGATTGAAATGGGTCATTCCGTAGAAGAAAAATAAGAAATAGTAAGTTTATATTATGAAAATACTGCGAACATTTCTGTAGCGCAACAAGAATTTAGTCAAAAACGGCATGAAGGAACATTAAGGAACTATACAGGGTGTCCCAAAATTAGCCTGCCAAACTTCAACCGCGGCTTCTACGATAAAAAATAGGAAGGAAAGTTTCAATGAACATGAGACGAGAAATGTCTCCTAAAGGAGCTACGGCCCTCTGAAAGGGGGATCCTGAAGATGATATTTCTTGAGTATTTCCGAAACTCCATGTGATAAAAAGACGCAATTTGGTAGGTACAAGAACTATGCTTTCCATGACCAATGCAGTGAAATTGCAATCATTTCAAAATTCCACTCAGGAGTGTATAATACAGGGTGGGACTACAATAAATATTGCTCAAAATTTTTTGTATTGATATTTTTTTACAATTTAATCTGAGATTATGAAAATCCATATCATTTCACAAAAAAGTGCTCTTGTTCCGCATCGATCAGATGTATCATTTTGAGCAAATATTTAATGTAGTCCCACCCTGTATTATACACTCCGGGGTGAAATTTTGAAATGATTCCATTTCCACTGCATTGGGCATGGAAGTTTAGTTCTTGTAGCGAATTGCATCTTTTTATCACATGGAGTTTAGTACAGATGAAACCATACAACTTTCATATTTAGAGTTTTTCCCACCTCGTATAGTTGAAGCTGTAGGTAGAGGACGAAATAAAAGGAGTTACCCGTAAATATTTCATTACATCCATTACCCTATGAAGTTATTCTACCTGGATGTTATGAGGAGTGCAGTGCTGTATTATTGGTTTTTGATGGTAAACTCTGGCGACGTGACACGTGATGTCGTGAAGTTAAAGTTACGAGTTGTTTCGGCTTTGATGGGGTCGAGATAAAGGCATTTTTCGGTAGATTAGATGTGCCACCGAGGGTGAAAGATACGGCTCGGTGGGATCTGGAAGAATGTGTTCGATTATTACATTTTACAGGTTGATAGGTATCGATCTCAGAAGTCGTATTCCCTGAAACTTTGAAATATTGGAAGTTCCTTCTCAACTTCATAGTATTAAACAACATATTATTCTGCTGCTTTTACCTCCCTCTCATTATTTAGATATCCCATTCATCAATTCTAATATTTTTCTCATGAGCCAGAACAAAACTTCATTATACTTGATATTTTGGGATTTTCTCTCCTCGTTTTTATAGAATATCATATCAATAGCGTGTATCATTTCAATATATTTGTAGTGGGACAAATCAGATGATTTGCCCCAAAATGTCACTGCTTTTAACAGATTTTTTTATCAGGGAGCCTAAAAGAAAAATCCAGTAGCTTGTCAGTGACACTTTGTTTGAAAAATTGTTCGAAGGAAAGAAATATCAAAATTTTTTTTATCTTACATTTCGGGAACGAATCTGCTCCCGTTCTCAACATGAAAATGCAAAATATTTTTCTTTGGAAATTGTGCTCTGCTTATAGTTTGACGTACACTTCTCAGTGTCATACTGATGTTGGCATATGAATGAGTGATTTTAGTCTACAAATGAGTTACAGGATGTTTTCATTAATTGATCTTGAAATTACCATTTTCATGTTCAGTTTTCAGTAGTGAATACCATGTTCTATCTATATCAACTGAACAGGAAGCAATGCTGTTGTCTGCGTGCAGGAGAATGCAAGCGGATGATTTTGATATCATTATTATTATTATTTAATAGAAACGAGGAGAGAAAATCCCAAGAAATCAAATGAAATGGATGTACCACCTCCTCGATTAACCTACAGACAGTACAGAACAAAACTTTTAGCTATTTATCTCCACTCGACTCATGTTTACGTATAAGTAGCTTTTCTGACATTTCAGCTGTGTTTGATCAATGAAATATGGTGTCCTTCTCAGAGTCTCATAATTGATATTCACGATATATTCAGTAGTAGTATATTTGAACGGGATATTTCGCAGAATATTTTAGGTTAATTTCCATTCACTAGTATAGTATATGGTGAACAGGAAACATCCCTACAATTCTCATTCACGGATTGGATTGTGAGTGTCTATGAGAATAAGTGTTGAGAAATGAATGAACTCCCTCATTGCAATTCCCCCTATCAGATTCTTGATACAAATGTGGAAGTGAATACTTTCAATACAAGTGCTTTCAGGTGATAACCGGCAGGCAAATTTGAAATTTACATTTTTGCCATTCTAGAAACAATGAAGAGATAAAAAAATCGCGGATGGCTCCTAAGATAAGTGAACAGACGCAGAGAAGTTCGTCTGGGGTGTTGAGATGTGTGAAGTTCATGACAATACAGGGTGTCCGGAAATTATGCGCAAATAATCAAGGGGGTGATTCTACATGACGAAATAAGAATTTCATTTTATATGTACGTGGGTCCGAAAATGCATAGTTTTCAAC